TTTAGGGGGGCGTGGCAGTCTTAACTTTGATAAAGATTATTTCTTTGGTTTTGAGACTTTAATCTTTGCAACTTCAGGGATCTTATCTATGCACAATCAGCTTGTAACACTCCAAAGAGAAAGGAAAACTTGAAATTGCATTATATGACCCCTTTAAAGTGAGTGTAAACTATTATCAGATAGTTTGTAATTTGCTATACAGAGTGTGACTGAACCCTTTAAGTTCATAAGGGCTTATATAATAAGAAAATATCTTTTGTTTGAATCTCATTTAAATATGTTACAGCATATTCTTGGTGCAAACAGGAATTTAGGTCCATTTGTATGCATTATATAAGATTATTTTCTGGTGCAATCTTGTTCACACTAACACCAGCTCAGTTGTTTTTAACTGGAATATGACTTATTTCTCCACATGCCAGTTTTACCTCCTGCATCAACCAGCCAGCGGCGACGGTCTCCTCGCGTGTCCATCTCACTGACGACAGCTACCAGCTCTCCCTTGTTGAGGGTCAAGTCAAGGTCACGGGTGCCCACCACAGGACCTGTCAGCTGGTAGATCTTCTCCGAGCCGTGTTTGGCGGTCAGAGCCTTGAGACGCTGCTCACACATGGCATTGAACGCCTGAGACGACACAGACAAGAATCAGAAAACCCTGATTCCCTACTTACTCATACTTAATGTGAAATTACATAGAGCAGAATAAATGACATTTAAAATGCAAGTGTACATTAATAAACAATCTGTTCTCATATTCTTCTCTCAAAACAGCTTTTATTTTCTGATATTTAATCTTGACCCATTTCATTTGTCCAATGAGATTACTTTTTTTTAGAATAGCAAATATTTTCACTTTCTTCAGTTGCCTGCATTAAATAAATAAATAAATGAATAAATAAACACAAACCAATCAATTCCTGATGGATAAACTCAAGCCCCATCCCAAACACAGTACACTACCATTCAAAAGTTTGGGGTTTTAAGCATCAAAGCTTATTAGCATATCAGCTTATTAGCATATCAGCATATTAGAATGATTTCTGAAGGATCATGTGACACTGAAGACTGGAGTAATGATGCTGAAAATACAGCTTTGATCACAGGAATAAATTACATTGTAAGCTGTATTAAAATAAACAGTTATTTCAAGTTGTAATATTTCATAATATTACTGTTTTTACTGTGTTTTTGATAAATGCAGTCTTAGTGAATGTAATTCTTTTAAAAGCAATACTAAATCTTACAGACCTCTAACATTTGACTAAAATGTTAATATTTGTTTTATGCTATAAAGGTCTAATAACATTTTTTCAAATTTCAAATAAAAATATTGTCATTTTTAGAGATTTTTATTTTTTTTATTTATTTAGCAGAAAATGACAATTGGTCAAAATAACAAATGTTTTCATTCGTTGTGATTGAAAATCCGGGTTATTCCACCAAATATTGATTTCTTAACTTTCTTAACTAAAGTTAAAACCATTGGTATTGTGTTGTCTAAAAATGAAAATAAAAATGTCTGAAAACATGGCATATCTTTTTTGCTATTTTGACCAATTGTCATTTCATGCCCTAAATGACAACAAGAAATAGCATCAGTAGTTTACAGAATAAAACAAAAATTACATTTTACTCAAACACATACTGTCATTTTCAAGTCTTTAGAATGTGCTTGAGTCGACTTTACAGAGTGGTTCGACTTTCCCATTGCCAATACAAGATCTCAGCCAAAAACTAAAGTAAACCCTTGATGAAAATTAATGTTGTGATGTTGCAAACAATGCAAAAAAGAATGCACAACGTCATCAAAGTTAAAGGCTCTCCAACTAAATATTAGAGTGTATGACAGTGTAAAGTCAACTCCAGCACATCTCAAAGACTTTCAATGCGGTTTAGGTCAGGACTCTGTGGTGGCCAGGCCAATCTCTCACAATTTGGGTTTATTGAATCTTGATATCGTCATCCTGAAGTATGTCTTCTGACAATGTTGTTTGAATACAACATGCCAGAAACATATTAATCACTGCAATAATGATTCAATTCTAAAATCTTAAGTATTTGCTTATTTGAATCCAGATGGCGACTTTTTTTTTGACCAGGTAGTGGACATTTTGATTCTTTCTAGAATTAAGTACTGTAGAAATTAAATATTCACCTGTTTATCTCTAAAGCTCACAGGATTTTGTCCTCAACATTCAGTAAAACCCTCAGTATTTTAGCTTCTTCTGTAAAAAGTACCTGATGGGTGAAGCTGGTGGCCAGCTGCTCAATATCAGCCGCCAGGTCTCTCTGCAGGCAGCTGAAGGCCTCTAGTGTGGCCCACAGGAGCTGCAGGGCTTTGCTGTTGAACTGCGGCAGCTCGGTCAGCAGGAGAGTGTTGATGGTCTTGTAGGTGTTCGCTATGGCTTGCTCCTCAAAGCTCAGGTTACTCTTCTCCTCGATTAGCTCATAGTCCAGAAGCTTGTCCTGACGTTTGCGGATGAGGTTACGTGGTCCTGCCATCAGTTCCCGCAGTGAGCTCAAGGGCTTAAAGAATAAAGTCTTCAAACGCTCATCCTGTGAGCAAGATGTACAAAAGTAGGTTCAGAAGGCAAGATACCAGAGATGTTTAATCAATTACTATTATAAAAAAAACAAGTTAAATATAGTGCAATAATGCATAAACCACTGTTGTCTTCTCAAATATGATGCATACCACTAAAATGGGTGTTATAAACCATTTCAACCTTAATGTCAATGGCTGGTAAACAGTTAAAAGATCTTGGCTAAATTTGTACCCTTACATGATACATGGTGTTTTTGCAGCAGCATTGGTTCCGGCAGAATTAGACACTGATGTATGGAGAAATACTAATGTGGCGGACCACAGTGAAGAAATACTGTCTCATGACAAAAGCTGTGACAAATATCGGTGTTCCTGACTTTAGTCAGAGATGCCATATTTAATTTGACATGTACAAAAACGAGGCAGTGAGGGATAGAGGTACAGTGTGTTACACAGCGCTGCAGGAATGAGTACTAAAGCCTGGAAATGAGTTAGCAGTTTTGCACTTCCAGTTCCATCACCCTTAAGTCAATGGGATTTTTGATTAAATTAGTTCAAGTTTTTTTTTTTTTTCATTAAAGTTTTTGGTTAAATGTCTGAAATAAGGTCTGTAACACAAACTCAAAATAATTTCACAACATAAAATAAATCTGTATCACCCAACTCATGACTTATTGAGGTTTTCGGTCTTGAAAAGGTGGCAGCTAACAAGTGGCTTAATGGGACAAAAAGAGGTTGTTGGTGTCATTAAAACGTCATCACAGCAAACAGGTAAATTCATCTACTCACTAGTCTGCTTTTTCATCCTCATGGTGTTTAAAATCACAAAATCACACTAAAACTATTCTAACTAAAACTCTCCAGCTTGTTATTAAAGATTGAAAGAATTGTTGGAAACTTAGTGATGGTGATGTTAAAGGCACAATATGTAATTTTTGCCGCTAGAGGGTGCGTATTC